TTTAATTTGTACGGACAGAACAAGTGCCACACTAATTACGCTCTCGAAGGGCATCCGACGCAGCAATCAACCGGTCATTGAATCCTTTGCCTCTTTGTGCCATCTTGACTGTTTTGTTAACCTTACTTGTCGCTTTTTATTAGCAATGAAGTGTTGTGAGTGTGAACATTTTTGTAATTATTCCGGGAATTGATATCGGACTTAATTTATTGCATATCTTGTTTGTAAACACGTATTTGAATAGTATTGTTATTTACCTATGCAATTATAATATCTGAAACAAAGACATCGGTGTTAAAATTTTCTTTAGATTTTTACAAAGCTTATAAGTGGTCTGTGATGTCCCTTGTTTTATGTATCATAGTCTACAAAAAAAAACATTATTACTTATATAAAGTTTTTCAAATGTAGCGATGGCTTTTGTGTTTACTTGTATCCTAAGTAGGAAAAACTTAGACTGACAGAATCATCATCATCATCAGCTATACTATACGTCCCCACCAAGGGGCTCGGAGCCTACCCTAAGTTAGGGGTGATTAGGCCATAGTCAACCACGCTGGCCCAATGCGGGTTGGTTGACTTCACACATGTCTCTGAATTTATTCGCAGGTATGTGCAGGTTGCGTCACGATGTTTTCCTTCATCGTAAGACTGACAGAATACCAAAGTATAATCCACTATTAACGGACAGAATCTTTGGTTGAGTTTTAGGTAAAGTCAAATATTATAAGCAAACTTTATCTATTTTTAACTATGAGAAAATATAAAATAAAATTGTGTTTAAACGTTTTTTATATCACTTTCGTATACGTAGGAATTTAAACAATAACGTGCGTTTACAATGCACCTTACTGTAACTTGAGAGCCCCGTCACGGTTCGCGTGAGGTGGTCTGGTTTCAGCGCATTCGCTTGCAAAACCCATTCCAGATATACGAGACAAACGACTCGTATATATGTTAGGGGAAAATTTCAAATTAAGAATCCATTTTCAGTTTGATAACACCTTATATTAAAAAGAAAAAAAATTAAGTTTTTTATTTTTAGAGTCTTGGCGGTTTGCTTAAAAATACTAGTCGCGCCTGTAGTCTATGGCTAGGCAGAGAATAGACTCCTATATCTCGTTTGCAGAGCATTCGGAATTCCGTCATAATTTTAATTAAACTATTTTTATTTTTATTAATCGCACTAATAAATTCTAACTTCGCCAAATCATCTGCATGCAAGATGGATAGGTTACAGAAGATAGGGTGTCGCCGCAAAACGACGCGCATACACATCGCCGTACATCTGCGAATAGTCTGCGAGGGCTACCGAGTGGAGGACGAACTCGGCTAAAGACGTCAGTGTCAAATTGTAACCTTATATTTATTAAGAGTGAGAGAGAGAGAGAATCGAAAAAACTTTATACTTACTTATCCAAAGCAGGAACAATTAAACTCCAATAAAATATTCAACATTTTTATTACCGTTTTAATTATTTAATTAACAATATTTATAAATATTTGATGACGTCAAAAAAACTTAAAATAAAAATACTGCCATAGATAAAAAATCTTATAAAAGGTTCATTTATTAACCTAAACAAGATTCAGTAAAAACATTGTATAAGGTACTCAAAACTAGACTTAATAACAAGCTATATCCGTAGACAATGTAATCATGAATTTGAAATGACCAAAGACAACTACAAATTTACTATAAAACTACAAATAAACTTCATAGAAATGATGGCAATATGATCGTTATACAGTTTTACGACAGTGGAGACTCATCGTAGGTATCTTAAACTATTTATTGGTCTACTTCTTGTTATGGCTGTGGTGTAAAGCTTTTATCACTTTACTTCTTAGCAGTAGTGGTAGCAATCGTGGTAGTACCACCCGCGCCCGCTGTCGTGCCAGCGGCGCTAGTGGCGGTTGCAGGCAGTGGTGTGGTGTTCCGTGAAGACCAGGGATTGAGATTCATAAACCATGAACCATTCCTATTGGATACAGTCACACCCATGCCTGTGTTTGGCGCTGCAAAAAAAAATTACCATAATATAAACACAAATATAAAACCATCAATATAAATTATAAAATGTCTTTAACTAATCTTTTATTTAATTCACAGATAAAACCAATGCTAACTTGCGAAGTAGAAGCAGATTTAACGGAAATAAATCAGGGGCCTATCACAAATATTTGCGACATTGATTTCAGCATTATTTAGGTTAAAATTTGTATGATTTTAGGTGTACTTTACGCCCGATTTGTTGTACAAATTTTGTCGATGACGATACGATGTCACTCGTCATAAATATTCAAGCTAGACCCTCTGTAGACAAATCAATGTTTTTTTCTATAATATTAATTTATGTCCAAGATGTGCATTTATGTCATTTTTAAAATTTATCAAACCAGTTGCTCCTATGGCATCTTTTAAAATACAAGGCAGAACCAAATTTGGTAAAGAATTTTAAGTAGACATTTCACTTACGTATTTCGAAGTTTAGAGGTGGGAAGTTGTTAATCGGTCTTCTTGTGGAAGGTCTCGAGGTAGGGCAGCCGGAGCACATGTCGAAGAAGTCAAACATGTCCTCTGTACTGGTACTCGATGTGGACGTGCTCACGTCGTCGTAATCGTCGTCGCAGAACATGTCACACCAGAATAGACCACCAAACAGTGGCTGCGAAATAATTAAAAAATAAAATAATATTATAATTGCAAGAAAACTATGGAATTTGAAAAGACGTTACAACTCTTCGGATGCTCTCAGATATGTAGATTGTCTCACCTTGAAGTCTCTTTATAAGCAAACTATCTGTCGCCCGCGACTCCGTCAGCGCGGGATTAAAAAACATAATTAGTAGCCTATGAGTTCTTCCAGACTATGTTCTATATGTATGTCGAATTTCATTGAGATCCGTTCGGCCGTTATGGAGATACCTTCAAACAAACATTCATCCAAACATTCGCATTTATAATATTAGTAAGATTAGAATTAGAAGTAACTTTTAGTAATTTTTATTTAAGAAACGAAATTTTCTAATACCAATAATGAGGCTCTGATAATAGATCAAAATTATCAATAAATTATCACAAACCTTGCCCACTGCATAGTGAAAATTCACTGATAACACCAGTAAGTACATGCACGTTCTCACAACACTCATGTTTGTTGTTGTAATATGAAAACCATTCAGCCGGTTCCTTTCATACTTATAATAACGCTGCCTTTGCGCAAGCTGGACGAATTACCAATAGGTGCTTCGACAAAGATTATAAAC